ACACTTAGCACTAAAATTAAGGTTATCGATTATCTATCTTTATCTCTCCTTCCGATCACGAGTATCTCTTGTAGGTCAGAAACGTCCGGCAATCACGTGATCGCGAATTTTTTCTGCCATCACTTTGTTACCTTATATTCACATGCTTTTAAATAATAATAGGTGGATTTTAAATATCGACTTATCGTTGAGTTGGTAAATAATATTTATATATAAGTGCTGTCAAGGGAAAACCTGTCATCGGCTTTCAGTTTATTTACTGAGTGTCGTCTAGGGAAAATCTATCATCGGGCTTATTATAATTAAAAAATTTTCCCTAGACAGCACTCAGTAAACAAACTGAACATTGAAAGCCCGATGACAGGTTTTCTCTTGACAGAGTGCTCGAGAAGGAAAATCAGTAAAAATTTATCCCCTGAAGAATTGTGATCTTACGTAATTAGTCATATCAGATATATACAGATATCAGATATGATCGTACGTAATCAATTCAGGTTAACTAAATACTATATAATGAAAATTTCCGATATAAGAAACTGGCAGAAAAAATGGTACCTCTAACAATCCCTTCGAGTGTATATAGGGAATGCAATAAATTAGCAATAAATTTCTCACCACGAAGCGAGTTGAGCTTGAGTTATGGGCTGTCACATGATGGAACATAGAAAGAGAGTGACGATAAACTTAAAGAAATTGCAGTGAAAATACTGGACACGTTAAGAAATGTTTGGTGCAATCCAGTTTTTGGTGATGAGTTTATTAAATCAATGAACGAGGGCTCATATGTGAATAATGTGATCGTACCTGCAATACACGCTTCATTATCTGACAGTCCTTTTGGCAAGCGAGCATTTATTACCATGTAAGTTTATATGTGTCACTCTGTATCTGATTTCAGCATAACCGCCATTTAGAAAATTACAATATATACATTTTTAGTTTTGAATGCCAAAGCATTGCAAGCGCAGATAGAAAGGGAGAAAGTCGATAGGAAGACGACCAGACGTTATGTTTATCACAAAAGAGCATAGCATAACTTATGAACTTATGTATGCGGAATGTTCGAAAATTGATTGTACTGCTAAAAAGAAAAGGATGATAGAGTTAAACTTTGGCGCGAAGCAAATGATGGAATGTATTGGACTTAAAAGTCGTAAGCCAGAAAAGGACCAATTCGGGATTGTTGGATTGCAGG